GCGCAAGAGCTCTGCAGCCTCTCAATTCTCCTTGCTTCCAAAGGAGCTGAGCTGATGGAATCCCCCCCATTCCTGTGGTGAGGAAGCAAGTTTGTTCTTTCTGCATTGTCCTTCCCCTCTCTTGTACGCCGGCTCACCATATCCTAAAGCCAACAGAAAGCTGCAGTCAGATTTTTGAGTCCAACTCTAAAACCATGGGGAAGCTTGTAGGGTTGAGGCACCACTGGAACAGTTAGCCAGGACTACAATAAAATTCTGTCTCAACATCAGCACAGCCAAGTCGTTATCTAAACAAAAATTGACACCTGAAGCAGAGAAGTGGACCACACCATCACCAACTTGCCATCTTAGTATGAGTTTCTCAATACTTGTGAGTCTCTGCTTAAAGCCCCAGCTGTTGGACTCAAAAGATGGCAGGAGAAGTCCAGCTTTCAGTTAAAAATAAAAGTAAGTTTCCAGCCCTTGTGATTACAAGGTAAAGCTTGAAAATGTGACCAAGTTCCCCCCTGATAGGCTCAGAAACCAGAAGGAAAACAAACTTAAAAACCCCTCCCAAAAATGTAGTTAAAAAAGCTCACGATTCTGGAGCTGAATCCCAATTTAGTTTTGAACTGTTGGGCTTGGCAATGCTGGGACTATCAAACAAAACATTCTCCAAAATTTAGAGATAGACACTTTATTTTAACAGGGTCTGATGTTCATGGGATGTACCTTACACCCACGCAGAACTAGCCTGATGAAAGAACAGTCACTACCTTTTGATCAAATAGAGACCCAGCAAAAGGGGTCTCTATTTGACATCAGCAAAAAGCTAAGATTTTTTTTGTTTTGTTTTCAAGCTGTGGCATTTGAAGCTTTTCTAATAAAACTTGTTGTGCCTCAGGCAAGAACATCAAAACCTAGATAGAATCAATTTATTTGCACAAATGCAAATATGACATGAGATCTTCTGATGTCCATATGGTCCATCTCTTCTCTTTTTGAAGCAGGATGATGGGAGCTGTCAATTAGAGGTGTGTACAGAGCTCAGAAGATAACCCTGTGCTTATTAAAATGTTCCAGTGGATGGAACTGTGGTTGAAAAATGTCATTTGGGAATCATTAACAGCCGGATAGTTGAGTGTTGGCATCTTTTTGCAAGGACAGCAAGGATTTCCTTGTTACTCAATATCCAGAAGCACTGTTGACTAACAAAAATAGACGGAGCCTAAATTTCCAAAGGTTCAGATCTGGGTACCTAGATGAAAGTGGTCTCCCTATCAAATCCCCTTGAAATCAATAGGATCTGCCAATATGGGTATTTCTGGAAACCTGTTACCTAAATATGGATTCAGGAACCTAACTTTAGACTCTGCAGCCTGAAAATGGTCCCCATTTTACCAGCCCTGGAACATTAATTCCTATTTTTTTAAATGGGATCAATTAGCTAATTACCTCATTCTCTGAGGTAACCAAATGAGCCCCTTACTGTGGGTGTGGTGCCCCTAAGAGGGAAAGTGTGTGGTGTGATTTAATAGGTGCAGTAGGACTCTGGCATCTTAAGAAAATTGCAGCCTAGGCTCCGGATTTCCTTTGACATTAGGACCACACTAATCAGCATTGTTGCTTCAGTGAATAAGGGACTTTGCTAGTGGGTCTGGACCAGCCCTTCAGTGTTTCCAATTCTGCCTTGAAGATAAGTGCCAGTCAGTAGTTAGACAATTGTGGTCTGTCACTGAGGGATTTGAACTCGATCTAGCTTAACTCCCATGTTGTTTAGCATAGGTGACAGGCCTCCTGGTGACTTGACTTTAGTTTAACGAGAGTTGTGGGTGCACTGTGTCTTTCATTAGGCCATAAAGACCTAGACCCATGTCTAGTTCCTCCATTTGGCTTCAGTTACCCAAGTGATGATTCTCTGCAGAATACAGATTTAATCCTGATTTTGTTTTCAGAAACAGGTAGCGCTACCAGCATAGCTACTAGCTAGCAATAAGAAATGTGTGCATGAACTAGCTAATCTGGTGTCCCCGTCTGCAGGCTACCTGTGACAGGATTCCCGGGGTGCAGCTTGGGACTGTGGGACTGCTGTAGCCCCTTAACTGTCTCCAACCTGGGCTGTCTCTCACAATGCCTTGCTAGTGACAAGCAGCAAACCCCTCCAGGCGCCGTTATCACTCAGCACAACTGCATGTGGAGCCCCACACCCAGTGGATTGCATGAATGCTCCCAGAGCCACTCATGAATCACACAGGGAAAGGCACCAACCAAATCCCCCCAGCTCCCAGCACTACCTCAGGAATATACCACCTTGCACTGCTCATCTTGAGCAGTGCAAATTTATGAATTGGTTCACCACTTCATCAATGGAAAGTGGATATACAGCAGCCTTTGCAAACCTGAGCAGATTTGCCCCACGCTTCATACGAACTCACAGGTAAAGATAAACAGTTAAACAAATTTGTTGACTACAAAAATAGATTTTAAGTGATAGGCAAAAAGTCAGAGTTAGTTACCAAAATAAAATAAAATATAAACATGTAGTCTAACCTCTCAACCCTATTAGCCCAGGCAACATCTAGATTATGCAGTTTTTCTCACCCCACTGGATATTGCAGTTCATAGTACACAAATTTCACCCTTGAAACCTGGGCCAGTCTCCTCTGTTGGAGTCTTCAGTCTTCTCAGTGTCCTTGTTGCTTGCAGCGTAGATGGCCAAGCATGTGGCCACTGTGTCTCTTTTATACCCTCAGTCCCATGCGCTTGGGGAACATTGCTGAGTCGCCAGGTAAGGTTGAGCAATTCCCCTAGGCCGTGGCTACACTCAAAACTTCAAAGCGCTGCCACAGGAGCGCTCCTGCGGCAGCGCTTTGAAGTGCGAGTGTGGTCGCGCGCCAGCGCTGGGAGAGAGCTCTCCGTGCGCTGCAGGTACTCCACCTCCACGAGGGGATTAATTTACGGCTGGGGCACTGTTTACACTGGCACTTTACAGCACTGTAACTTGCTGCGCTCAGGGGGGTGTTTTTTCACACCCCTGAGCAAGAAAGTTGCAGTGCTGTAAAGCGCCAGTGTAGCCAAGCCCCTAGTGTGGCCTCATGCAAGTGAGTCATTGCATTGTAGCTCCCTTGCTGGACAATGGCTGTTGATAGGTTGTTTGACACCCCACCCGGCATTGGTTACTTTCCTTGCTGTTGTCTCTGGGGAGCTAATATCTTGCTGATTCCCCAACTTACAGCATGTTTTAGTGACAACCATACAACACAATTCTCATACATTAATGATACACATATATGGATAGAAAAAGGATTTTCAGCAGATCATAACCTTTCCCCGATACCTCACATGGCCTGCTTTATATGCAAGATCAGAATTATATATAAATGAGGAATATGGGGGTTATAGGGTGCTTCCCCAAGGCATAGCAAGTCACAGTACCCATGGTCTCCAAGGGTAGGAGTCTCATTATCCACAGCTCTGATTGTTTAACAGTAGGTCCAGATGGATCATCAATGTTAATAAAAGGACAGATGGGAAAACAAATTTTCCTGTCCCTATAGGCTATATTTCTCCATAAGGGTGACAAAAAATGTATACTATGGCATATCTATATCCATGATTTAATATGCAGTCTGCCTAGCTATTTGAGGATTTACATGGAGTAACACCTACCTATCTATGGATTTTTCTGGCGCCGTTATTCTGAAGTTAGTATCACAGAAACCCTGATGGTGTTTAACCACATGCCTAACTTCAAGCACATGGAATGCCATTGATTTCAATGGGACTATCTGTAGGCTTAAAGTTAGGCACGTGAATAAGCACCGTGCTGAATCAGGGTCAAAGTTCTTGGTGTTCCAGTTCCTGAGCTCCCACTACAGTTTTCTCTCCTAGTGTTCTTAACTATGTGGTACTTTAAGTGGTGTCAGGTAGTGGGTGAGGACAGCATCTGGTTAAAAGAACTGGTGAAGTAGTCTATTAAGGCCCAGATCCTCAAAGGTATTTAGGCATCTAACACATCTGAAGAAGTGAGGTTCTTACCCATGAAAGCTTATGCTCCCAATACTTCTGTTACTCTTAAAGGTGCCACAGGACCCTCTGTTGCTTTTTACTTTATATCTGTGTATGCACAGACATAGAAGCTTGGAAATATCAAACCAATCCCTGTTCCACCAAGCCAAAACAAAAAACACCTTCCACAGCATTATTGACCTACATTAGGCCCCTCTTCTCTGCTTCAAAGGGATGGCCCAATGGCCTGAAAATCCACACACGAGGGGTGTGATTTCTAAAGCACACCAACATGCTGGATGCTAACCGGCACATTTGGGCTTGTTGGCATGCACTAAAAGTCCCTACTGCAAATAGCACTATGTTAAAGAGCACTAGGGAATTTTTAGTGTGCACCAGCAGGGTCCACACTGGCCAGCTGGTGTCCAGCACATAGACATGCTTTAGAAATGATACCTCTCTAGTGTGCAGTAGTATTAGGGTTGCCAACCCTCCAGGATTGGCCTGGAATTAAAGATTAATTTTTAATTATGTCATGTGATGAAACCTCCAGGATTACATCCAAACAAACCTGGCAACCCTAAGTGGTATGCTGTGTAGACAAGCCCCAGCACTGTGCTTGGAGATGGACACTAGGTTGGAATACACAGCAGCAGAAAAATAAGGGTAAGCTATTTACGAGGGGAGAGATCGTTTTGTTTTTATTTTACTCATTTATTTTTGTCCCAACCTATCAGGTGCTGTTAGAATCCTCCGTTCTAATATGCAGCGTATGGACCATCTATACTTTGAGCACAGGCAATTAAAACTTTCTGGGACAAACACTAAACTCGCCTGCTCCACAGATGTTTCCTTTTAGTTCTACTGGATTCCTGTCAATGAAAACGTGGCAATATCTGCACAGCAACACATGGAACTTTCCATCAACCCAAATGGCAACAGGAGTTTGTATGAAGAAAATGAGTGCTAGTTGGGTTAGGGCGGTGTTTTGTTTTTGTTGTTAAATACATACCTCAAAAACAGAAGTTGGTAGGAGAGCCAAATCTCTGCAGGGTGTGTGAGAACAGCAGAGCCATAAAGATCTGCTGGAAGAAGTTGCATCCATTGCAGTGACAGGCTAAATTTGTCCTCCTGACTCTCCCCTGTAAGTAAGAGATTTGATGGTCCACTTGGGAATATGACTTCGCATCAGCAAATCTCCAAGGGCAGCAAGGACAACTGACAGCTGTTTGTAATGCTTTTAGCTATAGTCACTTCTACCCCTTATTTTTGTAGATAAGGATGTGTCGCTGATGCACTGCCTCAAATGAATGTGAATTAACAATTCTTCTGTGTGGGGTGTGATTGGATCAGTGCCTTATTCACAAAAGCAAATCCTTTATCATAGCAGCACCTCAAAATACTATGTTGGCCTTTATTTTTAATACAATTTCAAACTTGGGCACCAACATTTGGGAGGGTGTGGGATTTTTTGTTGTTTATTTGTTTGTTTAAAAAGGTACCTGAATAAGTGGCCTGATGGTCAAAAGTGCTGAGTTCCTGTCATTCCCATTGAAGTAAACATGGATTTAGGTATCTAACTTTTAGCCAAAATTTTTCCATGGGTGGATGCCTAAACTTTCTATTGCTAAGATTCTGAACAGTACCCTCTATGGAAACTTTATTCTCTTCACCAGTGCATACTGCTCGAAGATGCAAGGAACTGACAACTGTGGATCCTTGTACACAAGTGACCTGCTGCATTGATCCATTAGTGCCTGTAAAGCATGTTGAGATGCTATATAACTGCAGACTATCACCACCAGATTACAAAATTCACTCTGAAAATACCTGTGGGCAACTTTCGGTACCTCACTATTAATCGATAGCATAATGGGCCAGTTAGACCAATTGCTACTGTCATGCTGGTGGCTCCATGGCTTGAAAGGTTTGCAGCTAGATTAGATGCTTGGTGTCATGTGTATAGCATGTGTTTTTTGTTTTTGAAACCTATTATGAAATACAAACATGAGCTAATTGGTTTTCCCCCCGCCACACTCATCCTACCATGCAGCTTGCAGGCTAAGGAATACACTATAGCTCAGGGGTGGCCAACCTGAGCCTGAGAAGGAGCCAGAATTTAGCAATGTACATTTCCAAAGAGACACAGTAATACGTCAGCAGCCCCCCTCCACTCCCAGCGCCTCCCACCCTTCCCAGCCCTGCCAATCAGCGGCTTCCTCTCCCTCCCCGCACCTCCCGATCAGCTGTTTTGTGGTGTGCAGGAGGCTCTGAGGGGGAGGAGCGAGGGCACAGCAGGCTCAGGGGAGGGGGCAGGAAGGGGTGGAGTGGGGGGCAGGGCCTGTGGCAGAGCCAGAGGTTGAGCAGTGAGCATCCCCTGGACCACTGGAAAGTTGGCACCTGTAGCTCCAGCCCTGGAGTCGGTGCCTATACAAGGAGCCGCATATTAACTTCTGAAGAGCCGCATGTGGCTCCGGAGCCACAGGTTGCCCACCCCTCCTATAGCTGCTAGTCACCTCAAATAAATCTTTGCACAAAATAAACCTGCAACTGAATTGTTCTATGTCAACGACTTCATTAATCATGTGTCATAATTTTGTAGTACAAGGCAGAGCAATGAGATAAAACATTGTTCTTGTGTTGTCAGAAGTCACTTTTCTTATCATAATCTTCTGCTATCAGGTACTGAAAGCCTGAATGTTATACTGAACCTGTGTTCTTCAGCCCATTGGGTGGCCTCAATTTTTACCTTCCCAGAACTTCTCTTACAGTGGACCAAAGAGGCTACATGGGTGATAGGGCTGCATTTATATTTATTTTAAGATGAACTCTTATCCAACCAGGGGGGGGGGGAAAGAGGAGGGAAAATACAGATGTCCTGTAAAGGATTCATGGAGATTTGAAAGTACATTTTTTCTAATAATTTAGATAACATGGATATGATTTCTAATTTAACCCAAAACACGGTGGTCTGCAAAAGAAGCTACAGCCCACCCCCACTAAAAGAAACCTCTATTTCAGGTCTTAATTCTGAGTTGTGAGATGTCAAACTAAAAATGTTAGGAAGCTTAAATAATGGAAACTGGAAAAAAAAAAAAAACTTGGATTACATGCCCCAAAGCATGTTAATTGCTTTCTGGAGGACAGCAGTGGCTTTGCCTCAATGTTTATGCAAAAGGATCATTCCAAACATCTGTATGCTTTTGGCTGAAAAAATCAGCTTCTTCAAACTATTTATTTAAACTTCTCCCTCCAGCCTTCTCTTCCTCCTCTCTGTTGAATGCAGCACATCTCATTCTTTTAGCTATGTCTGCCAACAGAAGCTGCACATACATTGTCCAAACTACTGTGACTCAAAGGGTTATGTTGTACTATACAATTTTATCCTGCATCTACTCTCCTATATGCATCTGAGTTTTGAGAACTTCAGCTAAGGAGTGAAATAAAACTTAACTGATGTCTTAACTTCCTGCAAAACCTACTTTGGAGCAGATTCTGCTTTATGAGATCATCACGTAGGGGCAAGGAATGTTAGATGTCAAGTGAAGAGTAAAATGCAAAGTTTTCACACTATACAAAGTTATTCAAGATAAGCAGACTGCAACAAGTTAAAGTGATCTCACAAAACTGGGTGAGAATGGGCAACAAAATGGCAGATGAAATTGAACATTATGTGATAAGTAATGCACACTGGAAAAAAAATAAGCCCAGCTATACATATACAGTGAGGGGTTCTAAATTAGCTTTTACCATCCAAAAACAATCTTGGCCTCATGTTCAATAGTTCTCTGAAATCTTCTGCTCAAGGTGCAGCAGCAGTCAAAAAGGTTAACACTATGTTAGGAACAGGATAGAAAAATATCTTGTCACTATATAAATCCATGGTGCACCCACACCTTGAATATTGTGTGCAGCTCTGGTTAACTCATCTCAACAAGATACCTGTATAGTGGAACTGGAAAAGGTTCACAGAAGGGAAACAACAATGATCACGGGTCTGGAAGTAGTTCCATACAAGGAGAGACTAGCATTGCTTCTTCAGGAGTTATACCGTTGCATCAACTGTACAGAGGTAACAACTGATGGGTCCAAGAAAAAGTTAATGCTGCCTGGTGCAGTGTTAACTCAGACTGGAGGTCTGACCAGCTATTCAGAGGAGAGCAGCAGTTAAACTCCCACTTCTCACCTCAATTTCATATTTGGAGCTTTTGATGGGGGTGCAGAAAGGAGAAAAGCTAGTCACAGCTGGAAGCTAAATTTGACACTTCTCTTCTGTTCACTTTAGAAGAGGGGGAAGCTAAAGGTTAAACTAACTTTGGTCTTAAATGCAAATTAGGAATTTACTTTTCAGCTATTGTTCATAAGCACAGAGCTAGATGTCCAGTTCAAACTAACTGATGAAATCAAATGTTCTTTGATTAGATAATCCCCTATTACTTCAATTTGTTTTATCTGCATAGTGAATAAAGCAACTTCTACAGCCAAATGCAGACTTCCAGTGTGCAACTGCTCTTGTGTTTTGTAGCGATGGAAAACATTTTTTTGCCACACAAACTAATTTAGAAGTGTCATGCAACGTAGCTGTATTGATTGTTAGATTGGTGCAATTACTGGGTACAGAGCAGAAGGCAGTATGAAGCATTTCAAATTAATTTATTTTCATTTAAGACTTAGTTAAGTTTCCTTCTGCTTTGCTAACTGCATTTAAAAAGTATTTTAAACATGGTTAGGACACAATATTAAAACCAAAAATATCCTTTATTTCACATACAAACTGCAAGATCATGCTTTGAAAAATAACTTGAAAATGTACATCTGCATTGATAAAACAACTCATCCTAGGAACCCAACCTTCTGTCGTGTTGTCCCCAGACTCTCTTCTTTGTCTAAGATCTTCTGTAGGGAAGTGTGCAACATTTTGCCTACCCGTTTTCCTGTCTGTAATGCAAAGAAGGCAAGACAAAGCTGAGGCATCCTACTAACAGGAAGTGAATTTATGTGGAACACTTCCCCTTCGGTCAACTATTTTTTCCCTTAATGATTAATATACACCAGCTGTTGTAAATGGCATATTTGAACGAAGACAAACTGCACGTGGGGGACTCTTAACTTGATCAAAAGTTTTGGAAAGAACCCCTCCAAAGCAAAATTGTTCAAACCAGGGGCAAGTGCTCCAATTCATCAAAACCTCAGTGGGCCAGATTCCCTAGTATGAGCTTGCCCCTCTGTGCCAGGCAGGAGCCTCAGAGAACTCTCCAATGGCATAAACACAGTAGAAGCAACTCCTGCACCAGCTTCCTCCCCATGTCTCTAGTATAGGGACATGCTGAAAGAGAAAACACATCGGAGGAGAGCCTGCACTGACCCTCTACTGGCAAACATCTCTTAGGTATCTTACGGCAGTGGTGTAGATCAGAACTTCCCCTAGGTCTGGCTGGCATAGGATCATGGAACCATAAGATTCCCTGAGCAGAGAGGAACCTCGCTCACTGTCCTTAAAAGGTCAATGGGCAGCTCAAGCTGTGGGTATTGAATAGAAACTATGGCCAAGTTGTCTGAAGGAAGCTGCTCCTCAATTTTATAACTAGAGACCCATAAAACGACCTACCATTTAATTGGGGGCAAGTCCAAGCTCTACATGGAGGCATGAAACCATAAAATGAAGCAGATGCTCGATCAAGGAGCCAGGCAATTGAGAAGGATACTACAACTTCCCCAGACCCTCCTCATGCAGTACTGTTCTGTAGCCTCAAGAAGAGCATTTGGGACAAGCTTGGGAGAGATGGGGTGGTATAGGACTATGTGGATCCACTGACCAAAACTCCACATGTAGGGAAGGTGCAGAAGTTGTTACAATCAATGGACTGGGGTAACTTTGCAGCCCCAGGGGGTATCATGAAATATTCTGCTCCACTCCCACACCAGATATCTAGCCCAGCTATCTCCAACACAAGACTCGTTTACCCTTGCTTTGTGCATGAGTCCTGTATTTTGCCCACTGGCATCTCAGTTATTTCTGCCTGACTCCCTTATGATAAGTTTAATCCAGTAAGAGGTGTAGCTATGGCACCTTTCCAAAGCTGAACCATTACGCTGCTTTCCTAAAAGCGATGTACTGGCTGGAATGTCTGTTCACCCCAAGGCTGATAATGCTGAACATTTTCTGGGCTGGAATCAATCCACTGGAGGATATAAAAGTGTCAAGCAAGAGTTATGAAACTGTTCCATTTCACAGACCCTGTGCTTTTGGCTTTGTTTGTTCCATCTGTTCCCCAAACAGGCTGCTGTGTTGGGAACAAGACCAGTCAGACCCCCAGCCAAAGAAAGAATTCTTTACTTCCCCCGAAAGCCTTTTCTTGTTTATTTCAGTGAATAACATCACCACTTAAGGAGGAGAGATTTCTTTAAAATAGGTAAGGGGCAACATAACATACTGGGCTATTGAGTTAAGTTTTAACTCTTAGGTTGTCACAGGAGTCAATACTTGTTTGTACAGTACCATTTAGGAGCTTTTGTAAATTTAGCCCTAAGTAAGTAAGGTGCCTAATTGCCTTTTTTCAATGGGAGTCAGGTGCTTCACCTGCTTATGTGTTTTTGAAAATCCCATTAGGCTCCTATCTCCATCATTAGGTGCTAAGTACCTTTGAAATATCTGACCCTTGGTGCATACACTTTTAAATGTTCAAAGCTCAACACAGATCCTGAGAGCAGACCTGTGAGGCAGGCTAGAAATTACTATTTTCATTTTACAAATGGGTACACTAAGGCACAGAAGTGAAATGACTTTCCTCAGAGCAAACAGGAGCTCAGTGGTAGATTAACACCCAGGCTTTAAATTACATCAAGAGAAAGTGAAGTGTCATGCATGCTTAGCATGTCATTTCCACTTTAACCCGTTGTTTTCAAACCTGGCTCCAATTTCTGCATTCCTCACTACAGCTGGTCAGGAATTTGACAAAAAAACCACATCGTTTTGCTGGAAAATGCCTATTTGTCAAAATTAATGTTTTGCAGGAACATACTAGTTTTGACAATAGTTTCAGGTCCAGCATGGAACTAGGAGAGAGAACCCCTAGAATAGTTAAAAGCCTTGTGGTTAAAGCACACGCCTAGATGTGGAAAACCCAGGTTCAAGGCTCTGCTCTATTTGATTTAGAGCATAGACTTAAACCCGAGTCTCTTACATCCCAGCCGTGTGCCCTAGCCACCACGCTATTAATTCTGGAGCTGGCGTCTTTGCTTTCTCATTAATGCTTCAAAAAAGGTACGTTTCATCCCAATGCAAAAGGGGAAAGGTTTTTGAAATCTCAAATGTTCACAGGATGGGGAAGCCACTTCCCACCTAGCTCTATTTCTCACAAGCGCCATGTTTATGCCAAATGTGAAGGTTTTCAGAAACAGCCAATTTTGAATTAAAGTGCAAATGAAATACAAAGCTGGTGTACAAAACTCATTTGTACATACTTTAAGGCCAAGTCTGGGCATGAGAAATTTCACACCAAAAGGGAAGCTTCAGAGAGAGGCCTAAAGAAGGATTTAAAGTGAAATTCCCAAGTCAACTTGAACTGCTGCCAGCTACCACAGCATTTTATAAATATTGTTATAGAAAGGGAAGAGGATCATATCAGTAAAAAGGACAGATACAAAGATACACCTCTACCTCCTCAGGAGCCAAAAAAAATCTTACCGCGTTATAGGTGAAACCGTGTTATATCAAACTTGCTTTGATCCGCCGGAGCGCACAGCCCCGCCCCCCCCGGAGCACTGCTTTACCGCGTTATATCCGAATTCGTGTTATATCGGGGTAGAGGTGTATTACAACAAAATGTGAAAAGTAAAGTACTAGGATTGTAACGATTACTAGCTAAATAAGTCAATTACATGAAAAACAAGTTATACAAATTAAAGATTATGTACTGTAAAGTACCAGTTCACAACAAGTTCCAGTTCTGTTGTGTGGTAACTGATGTATGTTAAAGAAGTTTTGTTTTGAGTTTCAAAGGGAAATTATCAGGCTTGAAACTTGTTCTTTATGAAGTAAATATAGGATTTGTAAATAATGTTGGTAACCTTAACTTTTAAGTTTTGCTAGTATGACACTACTATATAGAAGAAAACCCAGATTATCGCAGTGTCAGAGGGGACATCCCAAACGGTTTGCATAAGTGAAATTCATTCCCGTAGGAATTTCAGATTCCTTGGAAGCTGCCTGGGACCTTCCACAAGTCACTTTTTGCCCCTAGGTAAGTTTTCAGTATCCCTTTAATTATGCCCACACTGCAATTTTTCATATGCTCAAGATCCACTTTTCCATTATGTGAGCTGAAGTTGCTCGTCAGCACTTCTTACCTCCATCATCTCAAAGATACTCTCTGGATCAAGACTACCGTTCCCCAATTTCTTCATACACGTAAGGGTACCTCTGCTGGTCACAGAAAGCAGCAGGCTGGCCAAAGAGCAAGCTTCTTCCTGAAGGGTAGCATCAACTACATGCCTACAACCAATCTGCAGAACCAAGGACATATTTTACTTTTGGATTTTTTAAAATTGTTTTGTGTCCAGATAATTATGAACTTACTGGGTGATGGAATTAGAGCATTGGAGGTAACTCCACCAAACCATTAACCGGTCAGTTTATCTGTATGCTACAATCCTAAGAAATATAAATACTGTCTGATCATTGGTTTTGCTCATGTGCTAAATCACTGCAGCTGTGTCAGTCGTTAAGTATAGCACCTTGATATAGGACATTGTATCTGCTGACAGTGCAACGTTACTGTGTGTGCATGCTTATAAACATACTACGTACATAGGATAAACACGCACCTTTGGCCACTTGATCTACATCCTGACTCTTAATTCATCCACATGGAATTTAGTTTAACATTACAAACATCTGGCAATAGTGGGAAGCTCCTTTAAAATTTTATACATATATTTTTAAAAAAGGATCAACTTTTCACTCAAAGGCTTCTTTTTCTTCCTCAACTGTGGAATTTTATCCACAAAAGTTACACATGCCTGAGGCTCGGGAGAGGTGAGATTCAGTCTCTGCCTCAGTGACAGCTTTTATTAATTATTATTTATGTAACAGGTAGAAAACAGAATAATTTGCATGACAGCATGCAAGCTGTCTCATGACCAAGCCAAGAAGGACAGTTGATATTATGGCAATTGCTGTGTGGCTGGAAAGGTTGGAGAAATGGGCAGATAGAAAACAAAGTGATGCAACAGTGAATTAAGTGGGATCACACACACACCAATTTACTGTATAGAGAATTTAAGAAAACAGTGGTACTGAGAGGGACAGTAGACCTAACAGCTATGAACAAGTTCTGCTTCCGGCTCTGAGTCCCTGCTGTATGTAGGTCACTTAGCTTCTCTGTGCCTTGGTCCCTCTATTTGAAAAATGATGGCAATAATTAGGGCCCTACCAAATTCACGGCCATGAAAAATGCGTCCCAGACCATGAAATCTGGTCTCCCACCGTGAAATCTGGTCTTGTGTGCTTTTACCCTATACTACACAGAGTTCACAGGGGAGACCAGCGTTTCTCAAATTGGGAGTCCTGACCCAAAAGGGAGTTGCAGGGGGGTTGCAAGGTTATTTTAGGGGGATCATGGTATTGCCACCCTTACTTCTCTGCTGCCTTCAGAGGTGGGTGGCCAGAGAGTGGTGGCTGTTGGCCAGGTGCCCAGTTCTGAAGGCAGCACTGCCACCAGCAGCAGCACAGAAGGAAGGGTGGCAAGACCAGACCAAGTCCACCCTTAATTCTGCTCCGCTGCCTTCAGAGCTGGGCGGCTGGAGAGTGGTGGCTACTGATTGAGGGCCCCGCTCTGCCTTCAAAGCTGGGCTCCCGGCCAGAAGCTGCCGCTCTCCAGCTAGCCAGCTCTGAAGGCCGCGCTGCCACCTGCAGCAGCACAGATGTAAGGGTAGCAGTACCACAACCCCCCTACAATAACCTTGCGATCTCCCACGACTCCTTTTTGGGTCAGGACCGCTATAGGCACAACACTGACATTTCAGATTTAAATAGCTGAAATCATGAAATTTATGCTTTTTAAAATCCTATGAGTGTGAAATTGACCAAAATGGACCACGAATTTGGTAGGGCCCTAGCAATAACGCTTACCTATCTCGCAGGGTGTTGGTAGGCATGAGGTTAGCTCCATCAACAAAGTTTCTGTTTCTTCAGTGGCTCACCAAATAGGTTTCCAACATTTTAAATGGCTAATGGATATTATGTTAGCATATTAGAGAAGCCAATACTAGTGTCCACTTCACTATCAGCAAGCAGCTGATGGATGGATAGTTAATTGTTTCAGTCCAAGAATACAGCAGGATTAGCTATTGCAGATTCCCACTCCATCAAGACATACAACTTGAGAGGGAGATGGAACGCTCTCTCCACAAAGATTTCCTTCCCTACCTCCCAAGTCAATAAATAAACCCAAGGATGGAAGCCAAGAACTTATTTTTAGTATGGGGGTAACTCATGGCTCTGGTCATCAAAGAAAAGATGGTTTCTCCCAACCCATAATGGCAGGTCAATTCCTGTAGCCAAAGTCTATAGAAGAGTCACAAGCTAAAAGAAATAATGTACAAACTTCTACAGGCTTACTTTGCTTAATGTGATGATACAGGGTACATTCTCCACATTAAGTCGAATACAGTCATAAGGGTCATCAGAGAGCTCAATCTCTTTTGATCCTTCTTCATCCTCCAAAACACGCACTTTGGGTATCCTATTAAAACAGAAGCATATGCAAAATTTACTGGATATTTTACTTCACCACTCTCTAATCTGTTATGTAGGCCTGCCCCATTCCTAGAGAAAATAAAGCTGTTAAGATTTCTAAAGATAACTTTTCCATGCTTCTTTTTAAAGAAAGGGAACGCAGATGAAAGACTACTAAAAACCACCAAAAACAAACACGCCCGTTTTAGTACTGTAGGATTTTAGTCTTAATTCTAAAGAATGCTTCTGATCTCCTCAGTCACATCAGTTAATGTTAAAATGCGTATTTTGTTTAAACATACCACCAAGTAAGTGATCAACTAGACCTGGTCAGGGCTTGGGGGAGAAACCAATGCCCACATGGCAAGCATGAGTGCTTACAAAAATCCATTTCTTCAGCATTTCGATTAATTTAAATACTAAGCTTCTTGCTGTTAATTACACAGCTATACTATGAAGCAACTGTAAAGTGATGCAATGTTGTCACCTAGGGTCTGCAGATGGCAACTTCTCTGGTTCTGCTGCTGCTGCTAGCTTAACTCTGTTCCTGCTTGGTTAAACTAACTGATCTTGTTTCAGTGCTACTATCCATAATCCTGTGGGTGACAGTGAAACCCATGCCAATTTTGTGTTGCTGCTAATGCTTGGAAAAGCTATGACTAGAAGCAGACATAAGCACTAATGTTATTCAAGGGGGAAGGAGACTAACTACTGGGGGGGGAAGGCTAGAGTAGTAGAATGCTTTCCTCACCAGTTGAGAGATTCTCCCCCCCTTCTATAGTACAGCCTCCTGCTTGCTAGTAGAGGTAGATATGAAAAATAGAGCTATCAAGCAGGGTCCCAAGAGAAGCTTCAGTAGAAATCCCAGCATCCTCCATAAAAGCTGGGATGTCAGGGGGCTGAACCTCTCACAAAGGTGCTGATTTAGCTGGTTTGGCTCTCAACCTTCAAATTTCATGTCTACCTCTGGCTAGTAGGTTTAGGCCTTCAACTAGTGCCAAGAAGTATAAGGTTAATTTTTCAGTCCCTGTGCCAGACATTTGCAAAACAAAAATTACCCCCTCACCTTCCTGATCAATTCCATTATTCCTATCCACCACAGCAATGAAAATCAAGAGGCACATGTCTGGAGAAGTATATAGGATGGGATAACCTTGTATAGGTGAATGTTTTAGGACACATTCCTCCACTTCGGAGGAGTCTAATCAAGAGAAAAATGAATTCTTCAGACATCTTCATCCAGAACAGATTTTACACTTTATTAAAGAGGGATTATATATACTTTCCCCAAATCCTTTGTTCAACAGACGAAGTAATGCCCGAGATGTTCAATTTCACATATTACTTAAAACGTGAATGTGAACGTTAAGTCTCCATATTTTGAAATTTGTCAGATTTATAGGACATAGTTGGCCATATTATATGCACAGTATGTATAAATTCCATGGAAATTTTACAAAAAGCTGAACATAACATTCTTATGGTAATGAATAAAAGGTCAGTTGGAAGTTTAAGTAATCACTTGCTTTACTTTTCCTGCCCATAATGTGAAGGCCATGTTCGGCCCTGGTGCAATTTTGATGGAGTCCATTGGTGTAAGAAGGCTGCTTCCCCTCAGGGATGAATATAGCATGAAAGCTCTTACTTTGCAGGCCAATAAAAAGAAAACAGATCTCCCATTTCTATGCACTTTCCTTGAAGATATAACACACCTCAGTGCATCTCTGAAAAATTAGCTTTGGTAACTGGATGACATCTAACAGAAATGTTGGTTTATATTAATACTTTTACAGCACAGTGTCGTGTGTGTTACAAATTAAACTCGAGAGACTTCTTTTATGCATTCTGTAACATCTTTTAAAGTAAAATATCTGGATGGATTTACTGAACATTTTTTTCCTTACAGGAGCAAAGTGTTTTTTGTTTTGTTTTTTAATGCCTGGAAAGTATTTTACACCTCTACCCCGATATAACACGACCCGATATAACACGAATTCGAATATAACGCGGTAAAGCAGTGCTCCGGGGGAAGGGGTGGGGCTGCGCACTCCGGCGGATCAAAGCAAGTTCAATATAACGCGGTTTCACCTATAACGCGGTAAAAATTTTTGGCTCCCGAAGACAGCATTATATTGGGATAGAGGTGTAGTTGCAGTTCATATTGAGTCCTAATGACAAGTGCTTCATAACAGCGAAGACATCTGTAGAGAGAAGAGGCATATTCCCTGCATAATACTGACCAACCAAAACAAAAATCTTTTAAAATACGCAGAATGCAACTATTTTGTATAGTCTTACATAACTGCATGTAAAGCACTTTGTAGAGTTATATAATACGATCAATGAGACAAGATGTTTTCTGCTGAAAATTATTAACACTTTATTTACAACTGAGAGGGCAAGACAGTTAGTTGGTTACACGTAGGCTGATACAAGAGGACTGTTATAAAGGAGAAGACTCTTGAGCAACAGTGACAAGGTTATTTGGAGGGATAGAATGAGAGCAGTGTGCTAGACAGGCTAGAAGAAGGTTAAAATCAAGTCCATAGAGAGCAATTTTTAACCCCAATTCTGAATTGCATAGGAAGTGGAAAGCAATGTTTGAAGATGACAATGACAGAGTCATTATTCCCTCGTACACAGAAGGCGGCAAGTAGTAATGCATCTCCTTATGCTGCAGTTTCAAGAGCTAGTATTTGGAAAGTCCCTAGAGGAAGGAGTTGCAGTACTCAAGGCAAGAGGATATGAAGTTATAGACAAGACCAAACATCTACTAAGGCAAGAGGACAGCATGAGCTGGGCAGACAGAGAAGAATATTAGTAGCATGGAAGAAGTGGGGAGGTGATTACAGCCACCTTGGTAAATAAGCAAGAAGTAGAAATAGATTTTTGCAGGATCAAGGGCATTCCTGGAAAGCATCAGATTACCCCCTCCCCTTGTGAAAAGCCTTTGCTCCAGAATCCAGACTAAGCAAATTGTAAATCTAATCATTTTATTTTTGTGCACTATACTTATTTGTTGAGTTCCCACAATAGTGTTAAAACCTGCAGAAGGTTCATCAGTGCAGCAACTGCAAAGCCAGCACAGCAGTACTCAGTGGCACACCAGCAATGCTCTCAGTTCAGTGCAGGAGATCTAGAACTGCAGCCTGACATCTGCAAGTGGTCTCCACTGCCCCCCCCAATTCCATCACTACCCTGTTGTTGGGTAAGGGGCAGAGTGACATCTACTGTTGAAATAATTACTATTTTCAGTTACAAGTGCCTAAAGTCACAATCTATCTAGCTTTTGCCAGTGTTAAACTAATATGGGATATGCATCATTGTAATATGCTAAACCACAGCCCTGTGAGTGTTTGCACATTTATACAATAACCTGAGGAATCTTGTTCCAGGCCCCAGCATACAGAGGTTTGTGTTCCAAAACATAACAGTGGAAATACAGTGGGGCAAATTCAGCCCTGGTGTATGTACAGCTCCACTAAAATACAGATTTCTACTATAGCAGAATATGGCCCTAAGTGCCTTTAGATACCTACTTAGTACTAGAACTGAATGAATATTATTCAATTAGTATTTGGTGAGTCATTTAAAGCTGTCTGAAAAATGCAAACATTTAGATTAATGAATATGCCACCATATTGGGTCACCATCTTGGATTCCTTGAAGCCTAAAGAAAGGCGTCCCCATAGCTATGAAGGAAGCTATACAAGCTTGGTTTTTAAGGATAAAATTATTGCTCTACAAGGCTCAGATAGGCATTTGAGAACTAAATGCTTCAAAAACAATGGCAGCCAGAACACACTAATTTGGATTCCAGGTTTCAAGCAAGAGCTGGTCTTTTTAAAGCTGATATATACACCTTTGAAAACAGGTTTATAATGGAAACTTGGTCACAAAATTACTATGAAGGACAAGTAGTATAGCTGTACTATAGTTAGATTGGAATTGTCTGGCATTGATAAAAATAGATTAACATGATTGAAGTGATATTTTTCTGGTGGGCTAGTAACTGTTGTAGGAAACTTCAAAGTAGTCTGTAAAGTAAATATCTGGAACTAAGAGAAGGGGAAGGAAAAAATGACTAGATTCCATAGTGGATTAGTGCCTTTCACTGCTCAAGGACAGAGCTCAAATTCTTAGTTCACAAATAAAAGTGAGTTTGATGGTTTCTTCATGGTCCCCACAACAATAGCTCTTCCCAGTTCACACTTAAGCAAAGAATGCCAGTTGTGCTAAAGTGAAATAAGCAAGACCAGAGGTCGGCAAACTATGGCCCGCGGGCCACGTCCGGCCCACGGGACCGTCCTGCCTGGCCCTTGAGCTCCCGGCCGGGGAGGCTAGACCCCGACCCTTCCCCTGATGTCCCCCCTCCCCCGCAGCCTCAGCTCGCTGTGCCGCCAGCGCTCTGGGCAGTGCGGCTGCAACCTCCTTCCAGGCAGCGCGGTGGCATGGCTGGGTCCAGCCAGGTGGCGCAGCTGCTAGTCCTGGTGCTCTGAGCGGCATGGTAAGTGGGCAGGGAGTGTGTGTGTGTGTGGTTGGGGGGGGGGGAGGGGGGGAGAAGATTGGATAAGGGGCAGGGGGCTCCGGGGAGCAGCCAGGGGACAGGGAGCAGAGGGCGGTTAGATAGGTGTGGGAGTCCTGGAGGGCCTGTCAGGGGACGGAGGTGTGGATAGGGGTCGGGGCAGTCAGGGGACAGGAAGCAAGGGGGTTGGATAGGGGGTGGGGTCCCGGAGGGGCAGTTAGGGGCGGGGGGTCTCAGGAGGGGGAGGTCAGGGAACAAGGAGCGGGGGTGGGGGTTGGATGGGTTGGAGTTCTGAGGGGGACAGTCAGGGTGGCAGGAAGTGGGAGGGGGCGGAGGCCAGGCTGTTTGGGGAGGCACAGCCTTCCCTACCTGGCCCTTCATACAGTTTTGGAACCCCAATGTGGCCCTCAGGCCAAAAAGTTTGCCCACCCCTGAGCAAGACTCTTGTAGGTCAAAACTGAAAAAAAGTACTGGCAGTGGCTTTGGAGAAGCTTAGACAGTGTTTGCCCACACTATTCCAAACTCAAGCCATTAGTCTCTCACTTTCGTAAGTGCGATGAAGTTATCTATTTTAAAAGGCACTGTTTTTGAAAGAACTATTAAAGCAAGCACTGCATGCATAATGTCCTCCAGTGTTAGCTTGCAATACGTTTTTCCTAATCCAATGCTGTTCTGTTTTAGTTTTTGTATTTTCTTTATATACAGTAACCTTCAAAATAGGACTGCTGTTTAAACTACATTTCAAAAAGCCCAGATATCTTGTACATAAAGCACAAACAAGGGATCTAAAAAAAACCATGGAACACCAGCTGTTACAAACTAAACTTAGAATTTAGACTAACAGCATCCAGGCAGCTTTCCCATAAAATCGTTTTGCAATGTTTTTTCACCCTTAGCAAGTTCACAAGTCTTTGGCAGCTTCCCAATGTGTGAGAATATAACTTTTAATGGATTCCACATTACAGGAACACTTTACTCCTTTAAAAAAGCCACTGTGGAGATGATTAAAGCAGGAGACTGTTCAGTAAAATACCAACAGGAATGAAGTGTAGCAGAGTTATTGTCTCAATCTCTCTCCCCCACTACTTCTGGAGGGGTGTTAACAGGTCACCTAACACATTTCAAGGGACCAATCAAGGCAACTACTTATGCTAAACAATCTGTTCCACCTTGTATTTAGCTGTGACACTCTGAATAGGTTCCCCAGACCTAAAGAAGAGCTCTGTGTAAGCTTGTCTCTCTCACCAACAGAAGTTGGCCCAATAAAAGATATTACCTCACCCATCTTGTCTTTCTCAATCTCAAGAGACTTTCTTCATGTCTGAACAAACAGATTTTAACAACCTGATATACGTCTTCAGAACCATGCTTTTTCCTTGTATGCTGCTTTCCAACAATAGAGCTGCAATCGGATTTCACTCTGGCGTAACTCAGGAGTAACTAACTCTACGGAAGCTAATGGAGTTTCAATACACTGCTGTAGAACACCTTCAGACCTCTTGCGCCTGCAACATAAACTTTAACTTTTGGAAAGCTATTCTGGAGTCTCACTATGCAACATTTGGCAACTTTTGTTCACAAGATCACTCATCACACACTTGATGGAAAGAATTTCTGAAAAGGTTTACTGACAAACTAGAAATGTAACATTTGCCTGTGGGGAGTTTCTTCATCTGGTTGTACGTCGAACCTACCCGTTCAGCTGAAGTATTGGCTAACTTACTCCTGTAAGTGCAAATCTATGTTGCTAAATTTAGCTATCGCTAGCAGGCAGATCAAGAAATGGCAAGCAAAGTACCTCTGCTCCAGACTCCCTGCCTTCCAGCATGCGCCACTCCATGTGCAGAGAAGGTAGCAAAGCACAATTGATGGTTTTGTTAACGACATTGCACTTGCGCAAAAGTTTGTGAGCTCTGGCACCTAGTGACACTTTCCTTCTCTCAGTCAATAGTTCCGTGAAGAAACTATGAACCATGATTCATGTTGTTTAATGCAAAAGAAAAAACTCAATTTTTTTTAATACAGGAATTTAGAGCTGGTGACAGTCTGACAGCCCTACAGACAGAGGAAGTGATTTTCAGAGGTGCCAAGCATCTGCAGCGTCCATGGACTTCAGCCCGTCTGGAAATTAGGGCATGAAGGTCTTTATAATTATACACCGCTGCCAAAATAAGCTTTTTCTGAAGTTGGCCATGTTTAAAGGGGTGACAAGGTAACAGTTACCATGATCATTAAATCTTTCAACTCTTTGCCAATAAGCATCCTCGTCATGAAGGAGGACACCTGCCCAACAGAAATAGACTGAAATCACTAATTCATTTCAGCTGGATGCAAATGATCGGTTTTGTATCTGGATGCAAGTTGACCTAGACATCCAATCCCTTAATCTTTGTTTTAATGTTTAAGCTTTAAAAGTGCTCAGAAAGTACTTATCCTCCCAAGAAAATTAAGAACTATGCCTTACCTCGTATTAAAGAGAGCTGCCTTCACTGCAATAGAGATTGCATCGAAGAGGTTGCCACCACATTCCAATAACTGAGGTAAAAAACACAAAAATCAAACTATTATAAGATCAAAATATTCCCTAAATAGTTGTGACACTGAAACACTAAAAAACTTTCTATATTTAATTATACTCAACATTACCTATGAAGTCACAGTCAACTATACAATATCAGTTTCTTTCCAAAATTGCACTGTAAAGTGAATGTTTAAAATGCAATTTTAAAACCATCAAATATACACAGCACAGTGCACAGCATAGTTATTACAAAAATGCAGTGGTAAGGATTCTTTTTAGAACAGCATTCATTACCACTACAGCTACGTGAAAAACTCTAAAACTTTCAATGAAAATTGAAGGGAGATAGTTGTTGAAAATAATTTTTTGTCAAATGTGAAATTTAGGAAGTTTCAGCCAGCTGTAGTTATGGCAATATTTAAAAATAAACTCAGAATAAGAGAGTTATGGCATTCATTCTTAATCCACATAATTCTTCTTCTTTTAAAAACCTACCCAATGAAAGCACTTGCCCCTATCTTAACAGGAGATGCGTGAATGCACCAATCTACTCAGCTCATGTGAATATAGTGGATTAAGTTTCAAAGTGTACAATTCTGAAGTATGGTCAATGTAATCAACATAGAAAACTAAAAAGCCTACGAGGAAATGAACTCTAAATTAAGTAAGGGTTATATTTCAGACTGATTACTTGTACCAAGACAGACTGATGACTGAAAGGTGAAACTGACAAAAGGTGAAAGCAAAAGCTAAAAGACAGAGGGTGACCAAATTACTGCTATGCAACAATTGCTTGATACAGAGAAATTAGCCCGCCATTTTCAGTAGTTATTGGATTTTACTGGATAAATGCAATAAAACCACTATCTTTATTTAAAGACAGGATGTGTCTGTACTGTAGTTAAGGTTATGTTCAGACCTCCAATATAAACTTTTATTATTTGTATTACAGTAGCTCCTACAGGCCAGGGTACAACAACATGCTACCCATGGTACAACAACTTTTTCAAAACAATATCTTTTAGACTAACATTCCTACAAGGTGAATGTTTGTTTGTTCAATCTGTTCAGCTGTTTGAGTTGTGGGAAGAAAAAAAAAAGCTACCCCTTCCTCTGCAAACCACAATAAACTCAAGAGTGGTTAAATAAAATTCTAAGCCTGGCCCTAGTCCTCCTTGAGGAAAAGTCTCCAAGTCAGTAGTGACAAAAAAAACCCTTCTATGGACGCTCAACAGGAAATGGCTAAGATTTTACTAGAGCCTAATGTAGCCTTCCTATGTGTATACTGTGCTGTAAGGAGGTGGAAAAACCACACACTCATTCTCGCCATCCAGTATGACAGACTGCTGGGGCAATTTGTGTGAAGATGACTATAAATGTGTCAATCATGACAAAAGCCTCCTAAAAGCCTGTCTTTAACATCAGCAACAAAAGGAAACTGTAGGTGTGAAAAGATTGCAGATCCCTGGTTTATGGTTTTTCTGTACTCACTGTGCTGCTCTAGGGATAATGGAATTTTTTATATTTAAAAAAATAGAATGATCATTTCTTTTGAGACCACTATTATACAACCAGAGCATTAACCAAGAGCCCCTGGGTAGCTTCTGCATGCAAATTTGTAGTCTAACTCCTTTTGGTTCAGTCTACTGAGCATTAACAGTGTGACTGTGCAACCAACTAAGACAAGTCTCAACTATACTGGAGATAAAAATATAGGCCACTAACAAAGAAAAAGTATCTTTCTTTTTAGATGAGTGACTTTGCATCAACACCATCTGTTAAAGAAATCTCGTCTCCCTTTTCTCCTGAAGTTGTATATACTGGTCAAACCTTACCCTCAAATAAGAGCTGAAACTCAGATACTTCTGTGGAATTGTGGCTGGTTATATGGATGGCAATAAGAAATGGAGCAAGAATCCATCGAAATCAGATATCTTTCAGAACAAGCTATTTTAGTAACAAATATATTCTATGCACTCTATTGCATATCCAAGAATGCAGTATTTTTTTAAACTTCTGACAGAAACTTAATGAGGTTTATTCTCCCCTCAATTTACTGTGCAAATCCCACTAACATGAAAAGGAGCTATTCTTATGCATCTAGAGGGAAATGCAGTAAAAAGTGTTCTCTCATTAATCTGCTCATCATTATACTTTCAAAAATAGAAAAGTCCACTTGATATTAGTGTGGACACTACAGATAATTCCACTGTAATGAGCCATTAGTATAACATTAAAATGTAGTACAGTGAGCACTCACACAGCGAGTGTGGCAGAAATACCTATAAATATTGGACTCTTACTGCATTGTAACATCGTTACTCTACCTTATGGTATTCCCTATAGTTATAATAGAAAATAGCACAAATATCTTGGTAAATTTAAATACTGAAATTTGAAAAGATCCATACATTAATGATCATTTGTAGCAATACAAATAGTCACTCCTGAGGTTATTCTGCACCAAAGAAAATAAAAATTCTGTGCACAATATTTTAAAATTCTGCAAATTTGGTCAATAAATAAACGTGGAGGCTCCAGAATGGCAGTGGGGAGCACAGTCCACTGGCTGCACAGAGGTGGGAGAACACCCTGCAGCCCCTACCAAGACACAGACTCAGCGCTGAGGCTGCACCTGACCCTGACAGTGCAAGGGCTGGGCCAGCCCCAGAAACATGAGGGGGCCCTGCCCCTCCATGCAGGTACACCAGGTGTGGGCAGGCAGGCTCATCCTGGCAGGATCCAAGTGTGAAGGGGCTTAGTGTGGGGGGGAATCCAGGTGCAGGGTGAGAGGGTTCTATGTGGGGCAATCTGGGTGTGGGCGGCTCAGTGGGAGGAAGGGGGAAGAATCCGGATGCACAGGGACTCGTTGGGGGTTCCGTGTGCAGGGGCAATGGGACTCTGTAAGGGGGTCCAGGTGCAGCTGGCTGGGGCTCAGTGGGGTGGGGGTCTGGGTGAAGGGGCTTGTTGGAGTGGTCCAAGTGTAGGGGAGTGTGACTAGTTGGGGTGGACGTTTGGGTGCGTGGGGCTCAGCTGGGGGGTGGGGGCGGGTCCAGATGCAGAGGGGTTGTGGTTAGGGTGTGGGAGGCTCCAGGTGCAGGAGGTGAGGCTTGGTGGGAGGCTCTGGGTACAGAGCGGGTGAGGGTATGGTGGTGGGGGGAGCCTGGATGCATAGGGGGTTGAGCAGACAGGGTAGCAGCTCCACATAGTGACCCCTCCTCCATGGCTGAGGAGTGATGAGGACAGGAAGTGTGAGGGGGTGGAGGGGAGGTTTCTGGGGGTGGGTCTGACCCAGTCCTGGCTGCTCCTTGCAGGGGAAGGAGAAGTAGTCCTGTCCCCTCTGCCCCAGCCCACTGGGGATTAGCAGCTGAGCCTGGCACAGGATAGGAGCCACCATCTGGGGCATCCTCAGCCTCACCCCCCCCCCTCTGCTGGCTGCTACAGGTGCCCGAAATGACATACCCAGGGGCATAAAACTACTCTTGTGGCTTCCCTTTGCTTCCCCGTCAAAGTCATTTTTCCACGGGGAAGCAAAGAAATCTGCGGAGGACATGAACTCTGTGTGCGTGTAATGGTGCAGAATTCCCCAGGAGGAAGTAGTTCTTTAATGGCACACACCGCCCACCCCCAAAAGAAACAAGATTTAAATACAATAAATCTCATAATCTGAGTTCTACCTTTGCATGCTATTCAGCACAAATCCTAGTCCTGAACACATTTCCATTAGACTTACTAATACAATTTTCAGTTGGGCGAAATGCATAAAGCTGACCATGTAAGAAAGTATGTGAATCAAGAAGGTATATATCATAAGGAACTTTGAGATACTGACATATTTAACAATCTAAGAGGATTAAAGCTATATAGAAATAAATGTGGGTATCAATTTAAATGTGACTAAGTAAGAAGAATCAAAATTCCCATCATTAACATTATCTCTTCACACATGGAGGTTTACAGAATTACTGCTACGGTAAACTTGGCAGTATCATGAACGATTCAAACAAGAAGTTCGAAATATTGTGCAGTAAGAGACGAGATTTTAAAAAAGTGATTTACTGACTTTATGCAAATATGCATATCATCTAATAATCTGTAGCTTTGTTCACGTTTACCAAATAATTTAAATTCCCAGTGCTACTCTTCAAAAACAGCACTTCATTTTCAATTAAATTATTTTAGGTTCTGCTAAGATGGCTGCTGAGATTGTAACAAACTGCATCAGTACACATCTGATCGTTCTGTACTACTGTTAGTCACAGTAGGCACATCCCTATATAATTAGACTAATGCCTTTTTAAAAAAAGAACATAATGAATTTGTATTTTCATACATAATTTATTTAGGTGTCTCTGCATTCTGAATGTTCTTGTTTGTTAACACAGACCTACATTTGGCTTTGGCAACTGTATTTATCACTGAGCTTTATATCTTCAAAGCACTTTACAAACATGAACTAATGCATCTGTTGGAGGAAGTTACCAGTTATTACCCATTTTACAAAATAGGGAAATACTGATTTGTTCAAGACACACAGTCAGTGTCAGAGTTGGGAACAGAGCTCATGAGTTCCTGGCTCACAGACCTGTATTCAAGTCTTGCTGTCTCTCTCTCTCTTTCAGAACTTTAAGCACATTGTTGTGATTTAGCAACTCATTAGGTTAACTTTAGAACATGGACAAAATTTAGTTTCCATTCTAGAAAGAGATCATGTATTCACTCTCTCTACACACACACTTCAATAATAAAATCTAAACCTTCTGTGGGGGAGGAAGGGGAAGCCCCATCACTTCTATATAAAGCTTTTGTTCTGCTCCAAGGATCCACAAGCAATAATACAGTGTCAAGAGATAGATGGTGTGGGTAGTTATGTTAGCCACCCCTCTTTCCTCTCCTCCCCTACCCCCTCCCCCTCCCCCCCCCCCCAGCATTACAGTGAGGCATGGATATGCAATGATATAAACTGTGTAAATATTTTTAAAATATTACTAAATAACTTTTTTTATGCTCTGTAGTTCAGTACCTTGAAGATTCCCTGGAACTTAAATTACCTCTTCTTTGCTTCACTTACCAAAACATCAACATAGAGAACCCAGCAGTGCTCTCTGGGATTAATACAAAGGGATTTCACGTCTATGGTGCTTTCATTGCTAAATATTCTGTAGAGCGTATTTACTATCTCTGTGGCAAGCTCTTCTCCTCCCCGGCCTTCAAATTCAGGAGTGGCATTTGCTGAACTGGATGGGGGTAAAAGAAAATAGATACTTTTCATTTCTAAGCAGCCTTTATCCAAGGAACTCAAAGCTTTTCATAAACAGTAAGCCCATAACATCACCACAAAGGAGGTATTATTCCCACTTTACAAGGGTAGAAATGAAGCACAGAAAAGTGAAACAGATTACTTGAGGTAACACACAAAATTAGCATCAGAGCTGGCAAAAGAATACAGAAGTCCAGTATCTGTTTTAGTCACCAGACCACACTGTACAGTTCCTTGACATTCTGCAGAAATGTTTAAGACTAATATTTAATTATCTCTGCACCTTCATGATAAAAAAAAGAAAATTACAGTAAGTTCCAAATGGTTAACAATACAGCCTGTTAAAGATGAATGGGACAAAAGACACCAGTGAGAAGAGGGGTGAAAAAAAGACAAGCAAGAGAGACTTTTTAGAATGGCATGACTGCATGACCTTAATTATTAATGTCTTTACTGGATACTCTGTTATGGGGTTGCTTGCAGACAGCGTCTCATTATCTAAGCAAGCGCAGTTTATGGTGAGTACCAACTAAAGAGTATCTATTTTTAAAAAAGATCGGAGAATAGCATGAGCCTTCACTTTCCTAATTCCAAAACAAAGGTCAGTTTATGGGCATCCATGCAAGAAGATCCCTAGCTGCCTTGGGCCTTACACACAGCTAAAAACAAAAGGTTTTAGCTAACAAAGGCAGCATGCCTATAAAAAAAAATCCCCAAACCAACAAACATTCTGAATCTTGTTCTGATTCTACTCTAGTATATACAGAAGGCAAAAACATGGGCGTGCTGTAATAACTGGGCCTATAAATTTACCCTAATTGTGAACTCAATTGTCGGAAATTTTACAAAATGTTTCAATCACATAATGATAAACGTTGATGGGAAAAGGTGCAGAAGGGAGGCAGACTGAATTAGCCTAAATAAGGCGGCCTAGAACTGTGTTAAGATCATGCCTGGTAAACAAGAGAAGCATGGGGCCAGAAGTTATAGAATCATAGGACTAGAAGGGACCTCGAGAGGTCATCTAGTCCAGGCCCCTGCACTGATGGCAGGACTAAGTATGATCTAGACCATTCCTGACAGGTGTTTGGAGATTAAGAGCAGGTTAGGAAACGATGGAGATTCCACAACTCCCATGGCAATTTATTCCAGTGCTTGACTACCCTGACAGTTAAGAAGTTTTTCCCAATGTCCAAGCTAAACGGCCCTTTCTTCAATTTAAGCCCATTGCGTCTTGTCCTAGCCTCAGAGGTTAAGGAGAAAAAATTTTCACCCTCCTCCTTGTAACAACAGTTTTCAAGTACATAAAAGATTATGTCGCCTCTCAGTCTTTTCTCAGACTAACCAAACCCATTATTTTCAATCTTTCCTCATAGGTCATGTTTTCTAGACCTTTAATCATTTTTGTTGCTCTTCTCTGGACTTTCTCCAATTTGTCCACATTTTTCCTGAAATGTGGCACCCAGAACTGGACACAATACTCCAGTTGAGCCCTAATCAATGCAGAGTAAAGCAGAAGTATTACTTCTCATGTCTTGCTTACAACACTCCCGGTAATACATCCCAGAATGTTTGCTTTTTTTGCAACAGTGCTACACTATTGACTCATATTTAGCTTGTGATCCACTATGACCCCCAGATCCCTTTCCGCAGTACTCCCTCCTAGGCAGTCATTTCCCATTTTGTATGTGTGCAACTGATTGTTCCTTCCTAAGTGGAGTACTTTGCATTTGTCCTTATTGAATTTCATCCTATTTACTTCAGATAATTTCTCCAGTCTGTCCAGACCATTTTGAATTTTAATCCTATTGTCCAAAGCACTTGTAACCCCGTCCCAACTTGGTATCATGCACAAACTTTATAATTCTACTCTCTATGTAAATCTCTAACTCATTGATGAAGACATTGAACAGAACTGGATCCAGAACTGATCCCTGTGGGAACACACTTGATATGCTCTTCCAGCTTGACTGTGAACCACTGATGACAACTCTCTGGGAATGGTTTTCCAACCAGTTATGCACCCACCTTATAATAGCTCTATCTAGCTTGTATTTCCCTAGCTCATTTATGAGAAGGTTGCGTGAGACAATATCAAGAGCTTTACTAAAGTCAAGATATACCACATCTACCACTTCCTCCCTCTCCACAAGTCTTGTTCCCCTGTCAAAGAAAGCTATTAGGTTGGTTTGACTCAATTTGTTCTTGACAAATCCATGCTGACTGTTACTTTTTATTAACACCTTACTATCTTCTAGGTCAGGGGAGGGCAAACTACGGCCCGCGGGATTGCTAGCCCCGTGGCGCAATGGGGCTAAAGCAGGCTCCTTGCCTGCCCTGGTCCCACGCCGCTCCCGGAAGCGGCCGGCACCACGTCCCTGCGGCCTCTGGGGGCAGAGGGCTCTGTGCACTGCCCTCGCCTGCAGGCATTGCCCCCCGCAGCTCCTATTGGCCAGGAATGGGGAACCACGGCCAATGGGAGCTTCGGGGGTGGTACCCACACGTAAGGGCAGCTTGCGGCGGAGACACCTGCCCCACCCCACCCCCAAGAGCCACTGCCAGACATGCTGGCCACTTCCGGGAGTGGCGCGGGGCCAGGGCAGGCAGGGAGCCTGCCTTAGCCCCGCTGCCACCCCGGAGCAGCTCAAGGTAAGCGGCGCCAAGCAGGAGCCCACAACCTGAACCCCTCCTGCACCCCGCACCCCAACCTCTTGCCCTGAGGCATCTCCCGCACCCCAACCCCTTGCCCTGAGCTCCTTCCTGCACACTGCATACGATTTCTCCACCAGACATGGCCCTCAGGCCAAAAAGTTGGCCTACGCCTGTTCTACGTGTTTGCAAAGATATTGCTTAATTATTTGCTCCATTATCTTTTGGGGGTACTGAAGTTAAGCAATCTGGTCTATAATAAAGTCAATGAACTAAAGTTGCTGTGTCGGAAATTAGGCCTAATTGCTGGACAATATAATGAGAGAACGGGCTATTCTGCCAATCATTCCCTTTGGGGTCATCAGAAAGAGACTTTGGGGATGGGGGAGAAGCTGCTATCGCATGCTGGCTGATTAAAAGAATGGGAATGAGCAAGTTTCCCCATCATGGCTGCCATCTCCAGTCTCCTGGGATCCCAAAATCTGACATGACACCATTTTCCCTTCATCATAATGCTGAGAGACATCCTGAGGGACCCAGATGTTATTGCTACCTCCACCATCATTGGTTACATCTTGAATACCACCTGGGATGTAAGACTTTGTCACAGACACACTTGTCCATCATGTGTCCTCCTCTTTCCTCACCTTATTTCTTCTTTTTCCTATCTCTCTTCCTTTGCCTTCTGTTTAGTAAGAGTCTGGCTTAACTGGCTAAGACTGTGTATTTTGCAACATTACTGTGAGCCTGTGACCAGAAAAAGGTAGTTAAAAGCAATGCATCGAACAGTGCAACATTGTACAACTTTGCCAGGTCTCAGAGTGATGGATAAGACTGTGCTGGGCCTGTGTTTTTCCAGCAGTGAGTTTGCAAGTACAAGTCAATACCAGAGACAGAAGCTGCATTTTCTATCTTTGCTGTTCTCTTCTCTCCACTGTTATGTGTGTGTGTCTTGTTTTGTCTTCTAGGAAATAGGATCAGACTTCAACAAGAACAGCTCCAGCCAATCTCAACTAACTTCTCTTTTTCCACCTAAAAGACAACCAATTACACTGTGGGGTTCCTTTTAAAAAACCTCTCTCCAGAGTGAGAGAAAGAGACAGAGAGAGAGAGAAAGAAAGGAAATAAGGGATGCTGTTAAAAACAAAAGCCTTACTTAATACTTTAAATTTCAAATGCTTTAACTGTTTTTCCTTTCCCCTCACCCCATCCTTAATAAAAGGCAGGATGTTATTTCCAGATGTATAAATGCCACACTGTAATAAAATTACACAATTAATGATGAGCCAAAATTATAATCCCACGCAGAAGAACTATAATTACATTTAAAAAGAGCCTTATCACCAGAATTATTAAATTACATACCAATGAAGAGCTCAATTCAGCAAATGTATCTCCCATTTAAGTCAGTGAAACCATTCACCTCTAAAAATGACTGCAAAATTGAACCCCATTAAAATTTTGCAGGTCTCATAGTACACCAGATATAAAAGCTATTTTTTGAAAACTTTGATTTTTACTTGTATTAACTAGGAGTCAAATGCTGAATTTTTTACTTGGACAACTGTAAGAAATGATAGACTTGGAATATGTCTACACTATAGCCACTACAGCTGTGCTGCTGTAACGCCATAGCATACACACTCCCCTACACAGGCAGAAAAATCCCTTCTGTCAAGGTAGCTAATCCACTTTATGAGAGGCAGTAGCTAGGCCGACAGAAAAATTCTTCATTAACCTAGCTGCACCTACTCTGGGGTTTCGGTCAACCTAACCACAATGCTCATGGCAAGAAATTTTTCACAGGCTTGAGCAACATATTTAGGTCATTTTTAAAGTGTATACCAGGCCTTAGAGTATTTGATCTGGATAACTGTGTCGCTGAATTTTATCATACCCTTAATCATCTTATTAATTGCAAGGGACTAAGCCTTGATCTACACCTAGCCACATCACTTCCAAATACATGGTAAATACTGCCACCCTAAGGTCACTGGATATCACAATAGTGTAGTAGCAGAGATGTTTACATTCACTCATTTGAAATACTTTGCCCACTGTACAAATCTCAGAAGTGGAGTTCAGAAAAACGTATTTGTGGAACACACAGATCTAGCAGGGGCCAAAGGGAATGTGCCATTCTTATTCCCGAATAATACTTAAAAATAAAATCTCCAAAGTCAAGAAACAGCTCTCAGCCACATTCTATGAGAATCAAGATTCAGAGTAGCAGCTGTGTTAGTCTGTATCCGCAAAAAGAACAGGAGTACTTGTGGCACCTTAGAGACTCTAAGGTGCCACAAGTACTCCTGTTCTTTTTATGAGAAT